AAAAAAAAAAAGGAAGAAAATGGTGTTGAATGGAGTTGAATAGCGTTGGTTATGCTTGAAAAAACTATATTTATTTTATTTAAATTTTGTCTTTTAAGTTATGAATTAGTTATTTTTAGTTTTATATTAATTTTTATTTACTCTTGACATTTACATTATTTATGTTTGGTTTCAATTTAAAATTTTAGGCTATTCATTTTAGTTTCTAATTATTCTCCCGTAAAACTTATAAATTATATATAAAAAAAATTGTTTAGACAATAACGAGTTTCGACCCGTAAAGGTTGGGTCCTACTACAAACCCGCCATGGACCCGCCTATCATAAACCCGTTAAAAACCCACAAGTTCGGTTCTTCAAAATCAAGAACCGTTGTTTGACAGGACGAGGGCGGGTTTTGATAGAACCCGCGGGTTTATGGCCCGCGCACACCCCTAACCAAAATTACCCCCAATTCATTTGAAACCCAATTTAACTCCAATTTCATGATTTACACCCCAATTTAGCACAATTTCATCAATTAACCAATTTTAACCCAAATTTCAATTTTGACCCCAATTTTAACCCTAATTCGTATCAATTCCACCGATTATGCTCTAACTTCTTTAATATTACACATTGACCCCGGATTTTAACAAATATATCACATTAACCCCCAAAACTTTTTTTTTTTCAGAAAATAATTTTTTTTCTGAAAATATTTTTTTTCCGGCCAGATTCCGGCGTTGACTTTTTTTTTTTTTTTTTTTTTTTTTTTTTTTTTTGGAAATTCGTTTTCCTGAAAAAAAATTTCGGTCGGTCAACGGCCGTTGACCGCCGGGTTTCCGGCGTTGACTTTTTTTTTTTTTTTTTCTTAAAAAAAATATTTTAATTAATTTTACTGTCTTGGCTGTTAAGTTACTGTCTCCGGCAGCTATTTAACTGTCGGAGACAGTAATTTAACTGTTAATCGACTGTTTTTTTTTTTTTTTTTTTTTCTTCAAAAATATTTTAATTAATATTACTGTATTCGTTGCTAAATTACTGTCTCCAGCAGTTATTTAACTGTCGGAGACAGTAATTTAACTGTTAATTGACTTTTTTATTCTTAAAAAAATATTTTTAATTAATATTACTGTATTCGTTGCTAAATTACTGTCTCCAGCAGTTATTTAACTGTCGGAGACAGTAATTTAACTGTTAATTGACTTTTTTATTCTTAAAAAAAATATTTTTAATTAATATTACTGTATTCGTTGCTAAATTACTGTCTCCAGCAGTTATTTAACTGTCGGAGACAGTAAGTTAACTGTTAATTGACTTTTTTATTCTTAAAAAAAATATTTTTAATTAATATTACTGTATTCGTTGCTAAATTACTGTCTCCAGCAGTTATTTAACTGTCGGAGACAGTAACTTAACTGTTAATTGACTTTTTTTTTTTTTTTTAATTTTTTTCCTTAAAAAAATTTTATTTAAATTAATATTACTGTCTTGGATGTTAAATCACTGTCTCCAACAGTAATTTAACTGTCTTAGATAATAATATTAATAATATTATTGTTCGGAAGAATAATATTCATAATATTACTGTCTCAAACAGTAATATTACTGTCTGAGACAGTAATTTAGTAGTCAAGACAGTAATATTAATTAAAATATTTTTTTTCTAAGAAAAAACAATTCAAAAAAAAAAAAAAAAAAAAGTCAACGGTGGTTGACCGGCCGGAAAAAAAAGCAGGAAAAATAAAATTCAAAAAAAAAAAAAAAAAGTCAACGCCGGAGACCGGCGGTCTCCGGCGGTCAACGCCGGAATCTTGCCGGAATCTGGCCGGAAAAAAAACAGTTCGGAAAAAAAATTATTTTCTGAAAAAAAAAAGTTTTGGGGGTTAATGTGATATATTTATTTAAATCCGGGGTTAATGTGTAATATTAAGGAAGTTAGAGCATAATGGGTGGAATTGTTAAGAATTATATTATTGAGGGTATTTTAGACTAAAGACATGGGGATGGGGCTTAATTGAGAGACTGTTTTTTTTGTGGACTAAAATGCATTTAAGTCCCATGTGATGGACCTATTTGCCATTTGCCCTTCTATTAAATTACAATGTGCGTAGACTAGCAAAAAAATAATTAAATTTAACTTAAAAAATGTATAATATATTAATAATTTAAATTATAATTAACCAAAAAAATTTGAAAAAAGAAAAAAAAAAAACATGCCTGCAGATGATAAGCAATCAATGCAGCAAGTGGGGTGCAAACATGTGTGCAGAATGAACAGCTTTTACCTGTTCAAATATTGTAGCTTCTTTTTCGCAGCCTTACATCAGAAAATTCAGAGAATGTGAAGATCTAATAATTTAGATAGAGACCTTATAATACAATAAATATAAATGTGGAATCATATTGATGATGCTAATATGTAGCTCACCTAGGGTGGTGTAGAAAACGAACTGGGAGAGCAAAACAAATCAGTAGCTTGACAACTTGATGATCCTGAGGTACCTGCGATCATAGAACACATGAACTAAGCCGGGGGTTGATCCGGCAGAAACCCCTCCGACGCTCAAGTCAGACGTGCTGATCATAGAAATAGTCCAGAGAATACATATTATAGTATTGCCCAGTTAATAGGACGTACCTTATGGAATGAATTCAAATGCGTATTTATAGCTTAGTTGAGATTGTCGGGCCCAAACCTTGCTTGAAGGTGAGTGGGCCTCGGTGATAGTGGTTTTCGATATTGGGCTCGTGGCCCAGTAGGTAAATAATTTGTAGGCCCATTGGGTTGGACTAACGTATTTCAATTTTGTAACAATATATTTATTCCGAATTTTCTAGAAATTCGGATTTCTGATTTTTTTTAAATATATTTTGGATCGAAACCGATGCATGCGAGTTTATGATCGACCCGATTTTATTTTTCGAAATGAAAAATATTATATCGATGTTTCTTGTTTAATAATTATTTAAACTAGAAGGTGTGGTTTTTTTTTTTTTTGCTTTTTTTTTAAGACTTTAGATCAAACATTGTTAAGGTTAAAGATATGAAAACTAACGGCAAGGGACACATTGAAACAATTTTTCAACTACAAAGGGCAAATCGATGCAATCGAGAGTACAAGGGTAAAGTGATACCTAGCAAAGTACAAGTGAGGAAAGTGGAACTTAACTTTAAAGATATTACAGGTGAATAAAAAAATTGAATTCCGACGACTTGATTTAAACAAAAAAAAAGAAAAGAAAAAATCGATTTTGAAACAATTTTTTTATTTAAATTTTTGAATTCAAATTTCTGATTTTTTATTTATTTATTTGGAACCGAATTAGAATTAATTTTATTCGTTAAAAAACTGAAAATTTCGGAGAAAATAGTAATTTCAATCATAGAGAGAGAGAGAGAGAGAGAGAGAGAGAGAGAGAGAGAGAGAGAGAGAGAGAGAGAGAACAGTACAAGGAAGAAACTGAGTGCTGCCACGAAATCTCTTTGCTTTCAATGGAAAAGCAGTTTTTTCACATACATTTTCGTATATATACATATACACGCACACAGTCAGCAAAGCTGTATCTACAGCACCCGTGTGCCTATTTACTACAACTTGGGAACAGCAGAATGACTCTAAGAAATGAATAGTTCAAACAAAAATCCAGATTTTCATTTATATGTATATATATATATATATATACTCTCTCTCTCTCTCTCTCTCACACACACACACACAGCAAAACGTGCATAAAAGATTGGCAGGTTTCGATTTACAAACCACATTACTTATAATTGTTCTGGGTTGAAACCCTAACCCTAATTATATTGGATCAGCTTATTAATTTGCATTTTTATTACACACATACATATATATATATATATATATATATATATATATATATATATATATATATATATATATATATTAACACAGTTTGTATCTAATTACTTAGCATAATTATTTTAGTCATGTATTAAATAATTAATTTACTTTTTATTCATGGGGGCAGGTCAGGGAGCTAGTAGCTAGGGGGGCCTGGCTGAATAGCAAACTAAAAGATGAGATTACATTATATATATATATATATATATATATATATATATATATATATATAAACTAAAAAATGCATATAATTATGGGTGCAGGTTTGAACGGAAATTTCAATTCAATTTCCGCCCGTTTCAATATGAAAAGTTCCAGTTTTGGAACAACTTTTTTCATCCCATCTTCCGAAATTACGATTTTTGATTTTTTTTCGATTTTCTTTGGATTGAAATTGGACTTATATTTAAAAAAAAAAATGGAATTTCCTATTTCCAATATGATTTAATTTCCGAAATTTCCCAAAAAGGCTAATTGTTCTAATCCGATCCATTCGACTTTCACTCCTAAATATAATGTTTCTGAAATTAAGAAATATTTATATATATTATTTTTTATAATTAATAAAAGAAAATTGAAGGGAAAGAAAATTGCACAGTTTCTGGTGTCAAGTAAAAAAAGTGTCGTCTTCATTCTTACTGTGTTATCTAGAACAACTCACCAACTTTACTGCTACAAACATGTATAAATTAATTATAAGTGGTCCTCAATAACAATCTACCTTGCCTAATTAGCTATATAGTGTTGAATATTCAAGAATATATATAAATGGGTAAATCAAATTCCTACAACGTCCTAAGGTTAAATTACGAAAAACCATACTTGTTTGGATTTTTACAACCACTCATTAACTATGAATCTCTTACACACGTTCACCGTACCATTATGGTGTCAAAGTTAACGGAATCTTCTAGATTACATTGAATGTTTTCTAATTTGAACTCATTTTGTACAGAAATGCAGTTTCTAATGCACCACAATCTGATATTTACCAGCCAAAAAACACATCTTATATATGATCATAGTCACATGTATATGGGTTTATTCTATGCTCATGAGTAAATCTTTATACACACAAACACAGATACCTATATTGAGGTGTGCAGATTAGTAGTAAAAATTCATCCGGTGTAGCGTAGAAATAACCCATGTATATGTGTGTGATTGTATAAACAAAGACCCTACTATATGAAGGTATATAAATTGCATCAAACTTATATAAATTGCCAACTCTCCAAGCTCTAAAATCATGTCTCAAATATAATATATAATAAAAAAGGAGAAATTAAATAAAATAATACATACAAATATTGCACTAAATAAATAATAAAAGTGCTTCTTTTTTAAATAGGTAGCTAGAAAAATCATGAGCAGAAATTAATAGATATGAAAGAAAATTGCATACCAATATTTCAAAAGGGAAAATAGAAGCTATAGCTTTGTGCAGCAGCAGAAGCAGAAGCAGAAGCAGCAGATTATTTCCCTAGAGAGAGAAAGAGAGGAGAGAGAAAGAAACACTGAAGAAATTGATGATGATGAAGAAGAGAAAATCTTGTTAAATATTACCATCAAACCCTCCTCCATGAGGGTTATAAATATCCGCCCACGGAGATGCATTGTACGTAATTTGGTAGCCAGGTGTTTGATAAAATCTTCCCCCGCCGCCTCCGTCGTTGCCGAATCTTCTGCCGAACTCGGCCGGACGCTGGTGGGGCGGCGGCGGCGGCATGTGGACAGAAGGGGAGGAGGCGGCGGCGAGGCGGATGAGGTCGGCATTGGCGGCGTCGAGCTCCTTCTGGAGGCGGTCGACCTGGCGCTGGAGGAAGGAGATGGCGCCGACGCAGCCGTAGACGGGGTCGCGGACACGCGCCTCCGCCTCGTAGGCGAGGGACTGGACGGCGTCGTCGCGCTGGTGGGGGAGGAGGTCGTTGAGGAGCTTGGCCACGTTGCTCGCGCCGAAGATCTTGTGGACGTTGGCGAACTTCTGAGGCTCCTCCGGCGGGAAGTAGCCGGAGAATATGCACCCGGCCGTGCACTTTCTCCTCAGGAACTTGCACGCCGCGCATGGTGGGTTGTACGTGCTCGACGACGAAGCCATTCCTTTTGCCCCTGTCATCATTTCAACATTTGAATTCTTTAATTAGGGCAACTTACGGCCAACCTTAAGGTATGATCAAATTACGAAAAACTCCCCCCGATTGAGTATTTACGTTTACCACCAGCTATATACCTACTATACCTTATTTTATATATATATATATATATATATATATATATATATATATATATATATAATTTGACTTTGATGTTAATGAATAAAATTCTGCTCCCAGCAGGTCTGTCTTTTCACCTTGTTTTCTTGTCTTTTATTTTTTACCTTTTAAGGATTTGTGTTGATTTTGAGGTTACTTGTTAAGCTGATCTTCTTCATTAATTCTTTTTGTCTATAAACTTTAATTATTTTGCATGTTAATTCACTTATTATAATATTATTAATATATATATATATATATATATATATATATATATATATATATATATATATATATATATATATATATATATTAATTCATGTTATTAGCAATTCAGATAAACAACACTGGGATTTAATAAATATGGATGCTTAATTAATACCTTCACCTAATTGATCAAAAAAAAAAAAAAACAAAGAAAAAATTAATAACTTAACCTAAAATGGTCTATATGCATTTTCATTCTTCAACACCTAGTTCCAAATAATCTAGAGTTTAATTAGTACAGTGTTCTCTTTTCTAATATATATATATGTGTGTAACTGAGATCTATTCAAATTATAAGCAAATGATCCACAATATAATTATATCCCAGCACCATTAATAATAAATCTGAGTGAAGAATAAGGTAATGAAGACTGTAACATGAGAGAAAACCCTAGATCAAGAAATCAACAATTAATTAAAAGATATTACATATATATACATATATATACTGTAAATCTATTTATTATATATCTGCCATTAATAAATATTACCTGTTGTAAATAAAACATATATATATATAGTAGTAGTAGTACTAATTAATGGAAGATATTCAAGAATCTATATATATAGTTACCTCTGTGTGTGTACAGCTGGTCTAGTTGTTTGATCAAAAGCTAAAACAATACAACACTGCAGCCACAGAAATGAAACAGATGATTATTCACAGAATGGGGGAAACCCTAATCTGAAAATTCGGTGAAGAAAAATTAAATTGGGAAAATAAAACTCAGAATGAAGATTAAAATAAATAAAAAATTAAAAAAAAAAACCTAAGGGGAAAAAAAAGAGAAGAAGGACAAAGATAATGAATGAGAGGTACACTAATAAAGATGACTACGACACTGCATCTAATAATATATACTTGTGGGGATCCAATATATGTCACACATATTTTTTTTCTATTTTGTTTTTCTCTTTTTTTCTCATGCACTCACAATTTATTTATTGAAAAAAAAATTATTTTGAGTTTTAATTATTTTCATTATATAGCAGTATATATAGTACACAGCCAACTCTAATTTAATAAACATTTAAAGAAACATGTTAAAGTTTAGCAGATTGATGAGAATATCCAGTTCTAAATTAGACATATATATATATATATTTAATTACAAGATAATATAGTGAAAAAGAATGTAGCAAAAGTCAAACAAAACCAGAACCAGAAGCTGTATCAACTATCAACCACACACACACACAGTAGTACTATATATTTTACTTCTTGAATATATAATATTATCCAATATTATTAATTCCCTTTTCATGTTAATAGAATTTCAGAATGTTTCCTTTATATAATATATATATATATATATATATATATATATATATATATATATATATATATATCAGAAGGGTTCATGCATGAAACATACACACATGTATTTTTTGTGTATGGTCAAAAAGAGTAGGCAGCTCATTAATTAGTGAATACAATAATTTCTGATATTATTAAAGTTTATAAATATTTATATTAGCTAGCTAGGTTAAGGTAATTTGGTTCATGAAACTGGAAACATAATGTATATGAGAAGGGCTTAATATCATTCATTCACTTGTGTTCAATGAACACCAACTGGTTATTTACATTGGGTGGATTTGAATCGTATATTTAATTAGATAACTATCCACTAAGTATATATACACATGTGTATGTGGGCAAATTATGTGTAAATTTACAGTTCAAATTTACTCAGTGTAAATAACCAGATGTACGTAGCATCTGCTTTTCCCCGAGAAAGGTAATGCAACATTGTGGGGAGGGGAGGATGTAAAGTTGAATGTCGAAGTTGAATGCCTATTTGCAGAAGTTCACTGTCAATACCTAACACACGCACCTAAAGGGATTCGAACCCACAACCTCTCACCAAAAATCACTATGATAGAGGCTCGTGGTCGGCGGTTTATAAAGTTCATTGTCATATTATTCGGTTAAAATGCACATATATTTGTAGTATTTCTGTAATTATGAAGCACCGACTTGCTATAAGAGGGTACTTTATACTACGCCAACTACACCAGATATAACTTTACCATTTATTTATACACAAAGAAATACACATACATCCATGTTGGTTGCGTTATTATCCGACTACAAAAATTCACCTGATTAAGCTTCAAGAAACCGATTATTTTGTTTCAAGATTAGTGATGGTTGATTGCAAGAAACAATTCTTTAATTTCAAAACTCGATCTCTCTTTTCTAATTAACGACGTGGTGAAACACATTGATCGAATGAGATCTCAAGGGATAATCTTACTTGGATGATTTCGTGTTCAATAAACCATATAAATTTGAATTGCTAATTTAAAAAGTTTCAATTGTAATAACTAGATTCAAGAATTGAAGGGAATATATTGCGTGTTTCCAAAAACATGCCCAATATATTATGTGATGTAAAATTGACTCTTTAGTCTAACTCTTTCGTTTGGTGAT